CACAGCCGGAAACACAGCACAGCACTGAAACACAGCACTGATCAAGTGCACAGGTTGTTAACATAACCAGAGAACACTTCCATATCAACCAGCCTGCATTCACTAAGAAACTGACAGGCCAAACAGGACTCGGGTTACAGGGCTGTCATTCGGAATTTGAGAAAATGTGTCCAGATCATTGCGAATTCTGACAATTTTGTTGGTAAAGAAATCTACAAATGATTCAGACAAATTGTCAGTGCCAGATGGATAACGTTAGAGTTTAGAAGTTTCTCCACTCTCTTGAAAAGTATTCCAGTGTTCCCAGAGTTCTCCTGGATCCTGGATGAATAATAATCCTATTTAGCTGAGGCAATGATGTTGTTAACAACACCGTTCTGGAAAACATAAGGTTCTCTGTCTGCATGTGATCATCTTAATGGTAATGAGGGTTATTTGAAGAATTTCAATCAACGTATAAATGTTATCACAGGACTGAAACCGCACTTGTCAGAGTCCACAATCACATTCTGAAAGCTGTTGACTACAACAAATCTGGTATTCCACTATTGCTGGACTTATCAGCTGCGTTTCATACTGTGGATCACATGATCTTGGTATCAAGACTGGTGAATCGTTTCGGCATTAGGGACACTGCTCTTAATTTCTCCGTTTGCCTGTATAAATGTGCGCGTTAATCGGTATCAACCACGCTACAAATATATCAGGAATATGAAAACTTTCGATGAGCAAGAATTTATTAGTGATTTGAATACGCTGCTTCTGAACATTGTATACTCATCTGATGATCCGGAGGAACAATTAGAATACTTTAACAGTATGTTCAAGGCCTGTCTCGAGAGCAATGCCCCTCTTCAGAGGGTGCACTACAACAGCTGCGGAATAAACTCAGGAAGGAAGCCCACCAGACTGGCTCTCAGGAGTCCTGGGAACTTTTTCGGGACGTCAGAAACAAGTTGAAGGCAGTTATTCGTCAGGCTTGCGAGACCTTCACAAGGCAGGCGTTTTCCTCTAATAAACCGAAGGAGGTGTGGCGTATTATCCACCGCATATTGAAACCTAACCAACAACCCTTGGGGCAGGATCCCAATAAGTTAAATTCATTCTTTGCTTGTACTGCCGAGAGAACTTTACCTGTTAGTAGTGACTTACCTTTCTGCCTTGAAGAACTAATTGAATCTCTACCTGATGATAGCCCTGCTAATTTCAAGCTCCGGAAAGTGTCCCACGGAGAGGTCCTGCGCATGCTGAAATTGTTAAGATCTGATACGTCTACTGGCCCCGACGGTATCCCCGTCAAATTCGTTAAAATGGTGGCTGATTCCATCGCTGACCCCCTCACAGCCATTATCAACAACTGTATCAGGAAATACTATTTTCCTAAGGCGTGGAAAAATGCGAGGATCAGTCCAATTCCTAAAGTAGATCAACCGAAGTCTGAGGAACACTTTCGTCCCATTTCAATTCTCCGCACACTATCAAAAGTCTTTGAGAAATTTGTCATGCTGCAGATTACCACCTTTTGTGAATCTGAATCAGTACTCCGCGATACAATTTTTAGCTTTCGTAAGGGACACTCGACCAATACAGTGGTAATGGGTATGCACGACGATTTGCCAAGAGCGGTGAAAAAAGGTGAGGTTACTCTCATGGTGCTGGCCGATTTCTCTGAAGCGTTCGGCACAGTCAACTACAAGGTTCTTATAGCAAAGTTATCAACACTTGGTTTCTCGGAGCTGTTTCTGCGCTGGTTTAAAAGCTACTTGAGTGAAAGGTCACATTTCGTACAGATCGATGATCTTACATCTGAATCAGTGAACACACGGTTTGATGTGCCACAAGGGTCGATCCTTGGCTCAATGTTATTTAATCTCTACGTTTCTGATCTGCAAGACCATCTCCCTTCCTCGATTGGTTCATTTCAATATGCTGACGATACTACAATATACTCCAGCTGTCCAGCTCCTGAGCTAGAAAGATGTGTGCAAGAAGTAAACTCCACACTAAACACTGTGAGCTCCTGGTCTAATGACTCCCATATAGCACTTAACTCGAAGAAGACAAAAACGATGTTGCTATCCACAAGCCAGATGTCACATGTACATAGTTTAGGTAAGAACCAACCAGCTATTACAATCTCAGACAGTACATTAGAATATGTAAATGTAAGTAAGCTTCTTGGTGTACATTTCCACCAGCATTTTAATTGGGATGAGCACGTGCAAGCAACGTGAAAGAGCTGTTATGGAACAATACAAATAATAAGAAAACTTAAGAACTTTGCCGGTTATAGACTCAGAAAGCACTTAGTGGAGTCACTAGTGCTCTCAAAACTTGACTATTGTGACACTGTCTATTACCCTTTGCCGGAATTTCATCTAAAATGTTTACAACGTGTCCAGCTAGTAGCTGCTAGTTTTGCCCTGAGTAGGATAAGATAGGGTGGTTACCAGTAAGACAGCAAAGAGATTTCCACGTTCTCAAACGCGTTCACCAGGCTTTGCACTCCCCCCTGGCCGTCTTATGTACCACTAGATACAGTTAAACATCTGGATATCTTTGCAGTCAGGAGCAGCAACAAAATTA